CTGCTTCAACCCAAAGGTGGAGCGGAATCCTACCGGGTACGTGCCATCTCAGAGATGTGATGTGTTTGTGTTCAACAAGTCCATTCTGTTCCGGTATGTAAGGGAAATGCTAGTAGAACCCAAGCCACGATTGTTGTTGTATTACTAGAATTATTGCCATGTCTGGGAGCAGGAATATTGTTGAGCCAGAAGTGCAATATGAGGAGGCGGGATAGGAGCAAAAGTCTAAGCCTCAAAGACAGTAGCCGAGCCTGAAGGTGTTGAAATGAAGGCAACGATAATGCTGAGTAGCTATTATAATCATCTCATAACTTGGACCTAAACCTCGAAGAACATAAGTGACTAAATCACATTGGATACAGGCTGACCAATAGAAGCCAAGGAATCAGCTAGGGACTGGCCATGTAAGAGTGTTATGACAAATTCAGCAAACCCAGGACCAAATCAAGAAACACGACAGAAAAGGAAAAATACCACACACAAAGAACACAAAGATTTAGCGTGGTTCTGCAAAGCCTATGTCTACGGTGGAGATCCGACAAAAGTTTTCACTATGCAAAAAATAGGAGATTACAAGCTTCAGCTCCCAAACTCTAGCTCTTGTTCTCACTCTCACTTTCTTTTTATGCCATTTTTAGTGTCTCAATAATCCCATTCCAAATCCTGAGCACCTTTATATATCGGGTTATAAGAGTACTAAATAGTGTCCATGACCCGTAAGCAAAAAAATCAGGTCAAAATTTTTTCCTCGGGTGCCCCCAAACCTCAATCAACGGGTCGTCAGGGCGCAACACAAACCAAAACCAAATTCGGGTCCCAACATCACAAAGAGATGGTCAGAGATGGAATGGTTTTCCTCTATGTTACCCCGACTCACAAGAACCGGCGAAGCGTCTGTGTCGACAAGACACGACGCCGACACGGATACCGGATACGAGTCGGACTCCTCATTTGTCTACCAGACACGGTTGCCATTGATGGTGGAGCTAGAAAGCTGGTTCAAAAAATGAAAGGGGTTGGCTGCCATTGACGATGGTGTTAGTTCTTCAAAGGTTGAAGATGCGTCTCGGCGAGCGTGCTTCAAATCTTTCCCGTGATGGATTTTTTAATTTAACGGTTAACATGAAGCTGTCTCGTAATGCTTTTTCCTTTTTACGGCAAATAGGACACCACTTGTCCATGGTAGACATAACCTTTTAGTTAATGGGATATAGCTGTGTGTAATGGGTTATAGCAGTAAGCCATTAATTATTGCTCTAACTAATAAAAAGTATATTTTTACTTACAAAAATACAATACTCATTAGTTACGGTTGTAACTAATGGTTACTTTTCTTAAACAAATTTAAAAGACGGCAGGCATATTTCTTTCAAATGGTATTCAAAAGGTACAACTAACATAAATGAGAGGTACAGCTATTAGCCCCGGTTCCACTTCTGTATAAGGGATGCGTTCCCCTTTTGAACGCCTTTTTATTTTATTATTACTTATCAAAAAAAGAAAAAAAAAAAAGAGGTACAACTATGGCATGAAAGCTGGTTAATATTTATTTTTTATTCACCTCCCGAATATATATATATATATATATATATATATATATATATATTAGAAAATTGATGACTCATACATTAAAAATTTATACAATTTTCATTTATAAAAGTGTCCAAGTACCTGAGTCTAGATATTGGACACTTTTTAGCCGAGTCCCCATGTCACTTAATTTGATGAATTGACGTATCCGACCTCTAGACACACACTCGTGTCCGACACCTGTACCCGAATCCAGGTAACACATGTTTTCCTTGGTGAGAGACAGGAGACGGAATCGAAATGTAAAGGCATTAGCAACCTATGTTACATGGACTCGGGTACGGGTGTCGGACACGGGTGTGTATCTATGAGTTGGACGTGTCAAATCTCTAAAGAGAAGGACACATAATCATTTTATTAATTATTTTATTTTATTTTCTAGAGTAAAGTAATGTTTTTATCTCATATAATATTCAATATAGGCATTTAACTCATTTTAAAGTAATAATATAATGTAATTGAATGGTTGGCTATGCTTTTTAAGTACATGTCCAACCAAAAGTGTCGGACGTATATCCCATACCCATGTCCAAGGGATATGTGTCCAATACGGGCACTTCACTACTTTTGAAAAGTCCATGTAACAGAGTTAGCAATTGATTGCTGAGAGAAGTGTCACTTAAGGCAGGTCTAAACATCTTGTGAAGTGTGAACTGTGAAGGTTGTGACAACCATTCCCAGAATGGGCTCAGAGAGGGTGGCATTGAGATGACTAAAGAGTGTTTGATTAGCGCGAAGCCAAGTCAAGTATTCTGGGTTGGGTACTCCAGATTGGCCAACAATCGTTGTGAGAAATTCTGAGGGTGCAGGATCGTAGGGGTGTAAATGAACCGAGCGTTCGACGAACAGCTTGGGCTCGGCTCGATAAGAGCTTGACTTGCGTTTGTTAATCTGATAAATGAACCAAGCTCAAACAAGATTTCCAAGCCCGTTTAGTAAACAAGCCAATCTCAAACAACCGCGAGCTCCTCTCGTTAGTTTATGGACATGTTTGTGAACAAAGCTCATTAATGAGCTCGTGAACATGACTATATATACTTCTTGTACCTAAGAAATCATGCAATCAAATTAAAAATACGGCCCACTTTACTTAATTTTAGCCCAAGTATATGTACACAACTTATATGCAAGGCCCATTTTTTTACAAATTAACTCTAGCCCAAACAACACCTTAATGCTATTAGCTTGACCCATAAAATCATAAAGTCTTGCAGTGTATATTTACTAACCTTAGCCACAATCTTATTCTTATATTTTGTTTCCAGATTTGAAATCGCCCACCCCTCCAGAGTTAAGTCACACAATCCTTCTCAATAGGTGTTGCTCTCATGCTCTGAGCGCGGTCCCGCTCTCACGCTCCGCACGCATTCTCGCTCAAATTCTCACTATTTATGACATAATTTTACCGCTCTCATGCTCCCTCTCTCGAATTCGCTCTCGCTCTCGCTCCCGCTTTATGTGACTCAACTCCAGAGTCCGAACATTAAACCCCCCCCCCCCCCCCCCCCCCCCCCCCCCCCCTCTCTATATATATATATATTATGTATATCTCTGTGTGTTGTCTTCTAGATGGAAGGTCTTCTGTTTTGTTTCCAGATCGTCGTGTGAGCAAAACCGCCACTCTCCCGCATCCAACGCTAAACACCCTACCCTCTCTCTCTCTCTCTCTATATATATATATATATATATATATCTGTGTTGTCTTCTTTGTAATCAAGAGATGGAAGGATATGGTGATACAACCTATTACAGATGCATCATCTATGGAGATGCAGATAGTAGTGACTATTACTTTTGGTGATTTCTTCCATAGATATGTGTACATTTTTTATAGATCTATAATTTTTTACATATAAATTTGTTTGAAGATTATTGTATGTATATACAGTGTATGATTGTATATTATATACTATGTATCTTGCAAACGAGCTTCGAACTAAGCTCGAGCTTTTCTTGAACTTTGCCGAACCAAGCTCGAACAGTGCGAGCGGAGCTCGAACACACCTGTTACATGTCTGAGCTGAGCCCAAACAAGCCACTACTCGGCTCGGCTTGGCTCATTTACAGCCCTACAAGATAGGAGCCATCAACAAAGCTACAAGTTGCTAGAAAAGGAAGATATGGCGTGACAACAGTGAAGCCGGACAGTGGTTGAACAAGGGGCACCACGACAGAGGAGGCAGAGGCTCTACTAAAAAAAATGTAAGAAATAAAAAAGAATAAGAAACGGAAGAGATTTTAGGGCGTGAGACCCCTCTAATACCATGTGAAAGTTAAAAGAATTGAAAAAATTCAACTCAATTGTATTAATCTCAATAGGGGTATTTATATGTGTTACATAAAGGGCAAGCCTAAATTTAAGGCTAAATGTAAGTTAAACCTATAATTAAGCCTAAACGCATGTAACAAAAGAAATGCATATATACAAGCTAATATCAAGCCTAAATCTAAGGGGGCTGTCTAACAAGGATGGACCTAACCATTAACATTGTTTTGTGCGGATTTTTTTCACACCCTGAAATCTACATGGAACAAAACATTAACGTGAGCATTTCATGGCATGCACTAAAATTCCGTCAAGGCATAATCTAGAAATTGAGATGGCGTTCCACCAATTTCTTCTCACCTGAAAATATTAAGAAATAGAATGAGTTAAGACAGCCCAGCAAACAGATTACATATTCCCAATTGACTGATTTTTAAGTTTATTAGTCACAGTTACCAATGGCGACACTTAATTTGGGACGGAGGGAGTACATAATTAGTTAACCAACTTGCTTGGTGGAGTTATCAAAATTTTGTTTGTCATTTAAAATTTTTTAACCAGTTTAATATGTAATTTTCAGGGTCCATTATATAATTCATGTGTAAGGTATGATATATCACAAGCAATTAATGGTCATGAATATATGGATGGACTATAAGTAATTGAGTATAAGAGGAACATGCATTGATGGTTGGACTAAAAGTAATTGATTATAAGAGGAACATGCACAACCAAATAAATTGACAGTCTTAAGATGAATGCCATGATTATAACATCCCGCTTAAGCATGAGTGTAAAAGAGGAAGGGAATGTAAGAGCAGGAGTGAATCCAGGAGGCCCACCATAAACAATCTGCTTAAGAATGAGTTGACAAGAGGAAGAAAGAAGGTAAGAATTTATTCATTTGTGAAACACTTGTCATATACACAAGGTTGTAATGGTAAAATAAACGTGTTGATCACTCTTCCCTCGTCAATCCTACTTGACCAAGCAGATACGAGGGAAACAGTTCTTTTCATTTCCTTTACCTTTTCCATACCTTCTAGCTTGACCTCCCTCCCAATTTTCTTTCTCTCGTACCAAATGGATCAATAAAGTTTATTTTCATGACTCGTTTGTAATCAGTGAATCACCCATCTGGCAGGTTATTGTGCATATCTTGACGTGGAGAATGCATTGGATCCTTTGCTTGCTGAATCAATCGGTGTAGACACAGAAAATCTCCTTATTTCACAGCCGGATTCCGCTGAAAATTTGTTGAGCATGGTTGATACACTGACCAAAAGTGGATCTATAGATGTAATTGTGGTTGACAGCGTAAGCATTTTTTACTTGATTCCTACGAATCAATAGCTTATAATTTTAAGCCATATCCACATGCGAATTGTAAAACTGTTGGAAACTCTGCCACTATTATCTCTGACCTTTTTGATTATTAGTCGTGACTGTTTGATATAATGTGACTTTTTGTGGACTTATTGATCTCCATATTGGGTATATTTTGATGTTGGGCACTTTAAGTAATTTCGCCAGCAATAATAATTTTACGTGTCCTATTGCTATTGATGAGGGAGTGGTTGCTTTTTTTTTTTCCTCTCTTTGCTCCTTGCCTTCATGGTTGAATCTCATTTATGTGGCAAAAAAGGCGTCTCCTTTGCCACCCTTTGAGTAAGAATCAGATATCATCACTGCCTCTACTGGAATGCTGTGTACCATTGGCTTTGTTGGTGTGGCATTTTGTGGATATTGAAAGATCTTTTGTTGAACCATGCAAGCCTTGCGATATTAGTAAATCTCATCAAAACCTTTGTAGGAGAGGATACTGGTATGGACTTTGGTGTGTGATGTGGATACATCGTGTTCATTGCAATAAACTGAAAATGAAAGAACTTTGACACATTTGTTAATATATAGTAGGCTGTTTGACAGGATACATATCTGTATGCTAAATTATTGACTTGGCAAAAAGAACAGAATGGTGAACAGTCCGTGTCAGAACATTTTACCTGGCCTATCTTTGGTCGTATAGGGAGAAAGAACAGAATAAGAATTACATTTATCTAACCAGTATTATTTTATTTAATACATGCAACTTGCTTCAGAAAGGAAAATTTGTTCTTGCAGAAATCATTAATCTATGATGTAAATTTGATAGAAGTGTTGATATTACGGTGCCCTACCGCCAGTCTCAGTCAGATAAGGCTTGTACTTTTAGGATAGCTATCATAATTGGACTGGCCCACGACCTGTTCCATTGATTGGGTCACAGGTTGGCCTGCTTCCAGGAAATTGACCTGGCTCAACGTTTAGGGGTAGACTGCTACGCCATGCCCCTTATAGTAGGTACTAGCGAGAGGGAAAGAGTGCTCCTGCCCTTTACCCAAACAGTACAAGAATGGCAATCCGCCTAGTGTTTTGCAGCTGCCCTCAACCGACCTGATCGTCCCATCCAGTTGTCCTCACTATTTATTGACTGCACAGAGACATTTTGTTGGTGGGGGGGGGGGGGGGGGGGGGGGGGGTGTCCCGTTTGTTTTCAATATGTTGTATGATTATTTACTGGGAAAAAAAGATGTCTGTTTTTGTTAACTAGCCTGAACTGTTTGATTGGTTAAGTCAATGGTTTTGGTCGGCTGCTCTGGTAGTTATTGGTAATTGTGATTTAAGTCCACTCAGTATCTGCTGGGCTGACCAATATGAAGTTAATCTGTTTCAGTTTGGAATGCTGAAATTTCTCTTATTATTTTAGTGTGATATATTTTTCTTACCAAAAAGAGAAGTATATTTCAGAAAGATAGAGTCAGCATTATTTTGGCGTAACACAGCTTCATAACTGACTGAAAACTTTGATTAAAAAAAAGAGTTATTCTGGAGACTTTTTTCGAGTTGTAGAGTGAATTTTTTTGTTCATGGGTTGAGCCTCCTTTGGCACCTCTATTGACTTTGTTAAAACTTCAAAATTTCTTCGTCAGACAAGATTAATTTTCACTTTGTAGTTGTTCATCAGTAATCCTTCTCTTCCTGTGTGTTTTTAGTTTTACTGATTGGCAGTTATAATCCTTTTCAATCGTACCTTCTTGCTACATATTATTGACGCTAATATCACACAGGAAGGTGGATGATGACATGCAGTTACTTTACTTCTTTCTCCCTATTTCATGAATCATTCACATTGTTAATGTATTATGTTTGAAGGTTGCTGCTCTTGTTCCCCGGTGTGAAATTGATGGCCTGGTAGGTGGCACTTACAGAGATCTTCAATCACAAATAATGACCAAAGCGTTACGGAAAATTAACTATTCATTGTGCCACTCCAAGACTCTAGTCATTTTTGTTAATCAGGTAGAAGTCTGATACCTGGAGCACCATAAATCTTTTAATTGTGATACATTGGAATGAAGGAGAACTGACACTTGCATTTTTGCATCTCTTGTATCCAGATGAGATTCAATCTAAGATCAGGGCAAGAAGGCTTCAGACCTACAGATTTTGCAACTTGTGGGGGAAACGCCTTGCGATTTTATGCTGCAATTCGGATGAGAACTATTAGAATAGGATTGCTCAAGACTGAGGATAAGGTAAGGTATTTACAGTGTTTGGTACTAGGAGTATTAAAGCTCCCAAGTTTCTTGGTTATGCACCTATTTAAGGAGAAATCAGTATCATATTTTCCCCTTAATGAAAAGTCTCTTGGGTTTTCAGTATCTGCAAATTCAGTACCAAATTTTTTTAAATCAAAAGTTATTTTTCTGGAACAACTTTGATTTCACTTTTGACCCCATATCCCTTGTTCCAGAAAAAGAAATAGGTAATTTATTTTTGGGTGCAGTTGTATTAATTTTTGTCATGTCATTGGGGTTTAGGTTGTTCATTGCAGAACATCCTGTCCTTTCATTTTTACAATTTATTTTTACTTCATATTGATTGATATGTGGTCCTTTACCAGATAGATTATCTAACATCACTGGAATATCGCATAATTAAAGTCTTCTTTAAGGTGTTGGAACATTGATGGAAGGATAATTTACAGAAGACTGCAAAGTAACACAACTGCAAGAAGAATTTTTTTATGGCAGATTTTCCACTCATTATTCTGAAAACAAAACCACAGCATCAGGCTTTTAGCCATGAATGGTTTGGTAAATTCTAGTTTGCTGTTAAACATGGTGTCATCTCACTTCTGTAGAACAGAGCTTTTCTAGGCTCCATTTTTGATGCAGTAGTGTGGGTTTGCAAATGCAAGATTCTTCCTTTAGGGATCGATAGAACTTAGATCTGCACTATATTGTGGGATATTTCTTTCCTTTGGTCCTCGTGTTTTTTTCCTTTTTGGTGTTGGGTTTTGAGGGGAAGGGACTGGAAGCTGACAGTTGTTTGGGAACCACTGAAGAGGGGGGAAAGAACAGAATTCCTGCTATTGAAACTACACATTAAATTTCTGAATATTTCTAATAAATAGTTCCATCTCTGTTCTTGCTTGAAACTGGGAATGTCGAGAGAAATTACTTATGAGAGTATGATGATTGATCATTATTAAATGAATTTTGGAGATTTTTGTTTGGAAGTTATGGCACAACTATGTTGATATTGCACCATCACCCTGTGCGCGCGCGGGGGGTGTTTAAATTATATTATATTTTAGGAGGCTGTTTCTCATGGATACTAGTTCGATTTTTAGCCCAAACTCTTGAGTAGCTCCTTCTATGCACCTTCCTTAATGAATAAAAAAAAAAAATCTCTCTTTATTTGTGACTAAGAAGAGAGGGCAGGCCATGGCGCAATGATAAGGTTGCTCAGTTGTGACTTAGAGGTCATGTGTTTGAAACAAGGTAATAGCCTTTTTATATGCGGAGGTAAGGTTGCGTACATCTGACCTTGCATTTGGCTAGTCCTTTTTAACACTCTGTGACTAATTAGAGAATGTACTTGTATGGAAGAAGATAAAAGAGAACATGAACATAGCCAATTGTTCACCTGGTTAGTTTCTTTTTTTTTTTTATATATTATTTTTTTAAATTCCTTCATGTTCTCTTTACTTGTTATAGTTTTGAGTTTCGACCTTGGTTGGCCCCAAATTCATTTTGCCTTGTTTGGGTACACTTTTCATTTTCAGGATACTTTATCATCTTCTTTCATCTTTTGAGTCATTGGGGTCTTCTTTTTCCTATTGTCGGTTTTCTAGGTTACTGGTCTTGGGATTTGCGTAGAAGTGGTGAAAAACAAACTGGCACCAGCGATGAAAAAAGCTGAACTAGGGATACAGTTTGGGAGAGGCATTTGCTGTGAATCTGAGGTCTTGGAGTTGGCTTGTGAACATGGAGTCATTTTGAAAGAAGGAAGCAACTACTTCATTGAAGGGGAAGTTTTGGGAAATGTGAAGGAAGCTGAACGTTATTTGGCCGAAACTGATGGGCTTTTGGATAAGATAGTCAAAACTTTAAGAAGTCGATTGTTTAATATAGAAACATAATCCTAGAGGATCATTGACAAGATTAGCTTTACTCTGGCATTGATTCGGGTGGAAGCATGACATAGCAGTTGATTAATGTGATGAGAATTTGGTGCAGCTATACATCGACATTTGAAGTTTGCTCCTTTTCCATCTTGTGAAGCCTCAAAAGGTATTCTATCATTCATATTTGGGAAGGTTCATCTTTGTCTGCGACAAAATTTTGAGTTCCACCATGAAAATGGAGGCTGCTGCTGCTGCTGTACTTTAACCCAGAAAATTGGAGTGTAGGATTACTAAATGCCTCATCTTTGTAAAATTTGTTGCAACCTACCCTTTGTATTATGACGTAACTCGTTGTGATGAAGCCTCCTTGACAGAGGCTCTGTACCCATTAAGAACTGGATTTTTTTAAATATATATATATTTTTAATTCAAAATTTAAAATTTTAATTTTTAATTTGTGAAAAGATGAGGCATGCTTTATTTCTCCGGTTTGGCTCCTTGTATTGTGTACTCTTAATAAAAAAACCAAATTAGGGATGGTTTATGTCTCTACATGCTTTTGGATGAGGTTATGCGTGTGTTACTGCAGTTATGGTAAGCTATGCTGTCTATCCTGGCTCGTTAGCTGGAAATAGCATCTCATATATTGAAAAGGAATGCATTGTGCACCCTTTTTAACGAAGTTTAAATAGGGATCACAAGTTTGTGTTTCAAGTCCAATATCGTGAATAATGCCTGAGGATAGGTTTGTATTTTCGATAAATAATGCCAAATGTTAGAAGGATGATGCCAGAGGTTAGGTTGCACTTAGCCCAATAAAAAATGATTAATATTATATAATATCATAGTGTGTAGTGTCTATAACAAATAATATATATATATATTTTAGTTGATACTCACACAATTCACTTTAAGAAATTATTTGCACTTAAATGAGGATTAGAACTTTAGATCTAATGCTTACTAAAGCACCATGATCAAGTTTTTACTCACTTGAACCAACAATATAAAACATTTATTAAAGAAAATAGTAATGCATATAATTAATTCTGGTACTATTAAGTAATATTATATAATTTATTTATTTTTTCTATTAATATTATATAATACTAATTAAATAAATACAATTTCGATGTGAGCAACTCTAAATGCAATTTCGATGTTATAAATAATACTCCGTAAATATTTTTTTAAATAACTTTTTTTATTGATAACATCACAAAGAATTCAAGTCCACTTCGACTTTTGAGTGACATTAACTCGTTTTCAAATTGTTTTTATCAAATTCACTAACATGACTCTCACCTAGTCCATTGACCCATACAAGCCAATTGTTATAAGTCAACCTTCATCTTTCTAGATGAGTCAAGATTGGAAATGCAAATTTATGATGTCATTAACTTAAAAATCAGTTATTTTTTTTTTATTTTTTTTTATTCACATATAAAGTTTTATTACCCTTCAAACATGACATCAAAGCAGTTTGTAGAGAATTTCCAATTAAAGTAGAAAAAGTCCCTTCTTTGCAAGGTTTTCTTCAAACATATATCGGCTAGTAATTTGTGGCAAGAGAATATATATATAAAAAAAGATACAAAGACATTCAAAATTTGAGTACAGAACATAATAAGCATACAGATAGACCTCTCTCTCTCTCTCTCTCTCTCTCTCTCTCTATATATATATATATATATATATAAATCATTTACATACATAATCAACACGTGATCAGATTGTCTTCACATTCTCCATCATAGCTCCATTCGAATAAGGATTTATCCATAACTCCACCTCAAGTTATTTATAATTCCACCTCAAATAAGGATCTCTTCATAACTTCACCTTAACTAAAGATTTGTCCACTTCAAATAAAGCACTATGATGGCAGTAGCCAAAATCAAGTCTGTGAATTTTAACCTCTCAAATCATTCACGTACGTAATCAACACGTGATCAGACTATGTCGTCATGTGCTCTACTATAGTTCCACTTCGAACAAGATTTTTTCATAGCTCCACCTCAAGCTTTTCATAACTTCACCTCAAATAAGGATCTCTTCATAACTCTATCCTAACTGAAACCTCAAATAAAGTATTATGATGGCAGTAACCAAAATCAAGTCTGTGAATCTTTAACCTCCCAAATTATTCATATACGCAGTCAACACGTGATCAGACTATGCCTTCACGTGCTTTACCATAGTTCCACTTCGAACAAAATATCTTCATAACTCCACCTCAAGCTTTTCATAACTTCACCTCAAATAAGAATCTCTTCGTAATTCCACCTTAACTAAAGATTTTTCCACCTCAAATAAAACAATATAATAAAATTAAAAAAACACTCAAACATAATTGATTCAAAATATGGCCCAAATGCTTACATTTCCCCTGTCAAAATAAAGTAACTAGAACCCATACTTCGGGTTATCTTCAGATAGCTACATAAGTGGATTCCATCCATCAAATATAACTTAAGAAATATATTAAATCATACGAATGTTTCATATGCCTCAAAATAGAAACATGCCTCAAAATAAAATGTATGGTTGACAGGACCTCATTACATGGATCAACTATAAACAAAAATGCATTAAATACATCATGTATATGACCATTTTATATAAAAAGTATTACGGAGTATTACATAGCACGTCATGAAATCTCAAAAGTTTTCAAGATAAAATCGGTGCGTCTCCAAGGCTAAGGAAATGAAATGTCTTCCATGACAAATCCTTTCTTGAAGATGAAGGGATGAACAAGAATGCCCAATAAGATCCTACAACTAAACTCTACCTAAATAACCCGAAAACTTTTGTAATCTAGTACTATTATATTTCTATAAAACCGTCTACTTTTTAAACCTAATTATATACATACAAATTATACTGTTTAAGAAATTAGGAGTTTAGGGATGATAAAATTTATGATTAAAAATTAAAGTTTTAATCAGTAATAAAAAATTAAAGTTTATCAAAGTTTGAGTCACATTTCAGTTTATGGTCCGTAGACCTCTTTATGCAAGAAAGCATTAACAAAATTCTATAATATTAATCCCAAAATGCCTCTTTTGGCATACAAAGCCACCCAAAACTCCCCCCTCGAATTTCTTCTAATATTGTCTGGAAAACAAGGTAGCTCAGCAAATATATATATATATATATATATATATATATATATATATATCAAAGTCTTATAATCCTTGCAGCCAAAGTATTATGATCCTGCAACCGGTGGTTTTGGCTACTAGCACGAAGGAACAGTCTTCGCTCAAGGCCACGTAGTAAAATCGTTACTTCATTGCCTGATTTGTCATATTTCATCAACTTGCCCTTTACAAAAATAAACACGTACCATTTGCTAAAATATATATACACATTATTTTTTAAAAAAGAAATATATATATATATATATATATATATATATAAACATATTTGTCATTGCAATTTATCCAGCTGCTGAAAAATTAACTTCGGAATTCAAATATCGAAATTATTTGATGCTGAATATATATATATACACATGAAAGCAAATGATTACAAAGTATATACATAACTTGCCACCTGATATTGATTACAAGATCCATACACACACTTCAATTTTCAAATTTGACTACATTTCTTGGCCTTGAATATACATAGAAAAATGAAAGAAGAACATCAACAGCTTAGGAGAATCTTGCTGTGTGACTGACCATCTTCCATCCTTATCCATGACTTGAGACAGAAGGGTTGCTGAGAAATCTCCAAAATTCTAGCTCCTCTAGCCCAATTTCCATACCCACCATAACCGGTATGCCTCGCAAAGCAAAGCCACAGCTTCTTGTAGGGGCAGCACCAGTCCAATCCATGGTTGTGACCTACAAAAACTGCCTGAAACCATGCAAAAGAATACAACTAAATAGGACCCCATTTTCAGCAATCAAAGCAAATTTATATGTCAATAACCCTAATCATGCACATCGGATTAGCCATGTATGCCGGTTGAAAAATTAAGTGCCACACCGTCATATCATTATTGAATCAGAAAACACTCTTAATAATTTTCTTTTCCAAACACTTTCAGGTCGTTTGACCACAGTACATTTTAGTCATTCTTAGGTCTGAAGTTCATAATTTTCTGGCATGTGCTACAAAGTGTCCAAAGTTAACCTACTAGGGAAGCCAGGTTGGGTACATTGGCATGGAATTGATAAACACGACCCATAATAATGATAAGAAACATATAATTGAACAGTTTGGAAATGATTGTAGAATGTGGAAAATTTGTTTAAAGAATGGCTACTTAGCAAGGAAAAACCTGTGCAGATTTCACTGACCTAGTTGACCAGGCATTATCCAGATAGTTTCTCAACCATAAAGTCAGGGACTAAAGTCACTCGTTGCCTATATATATATATATATCTGCAGTTATATTGAATTTATACATATATATATATATATATGTATATATATACAGGGGCGGAGCCAGGATTCCAAAGTAAGGAGGGCTAAAAATAACTAAACCCATGATTGCTTAGTGTGTCATCCATACTTTAAATACATAATTATCATGCATCAGTTATTCAATTAAACCCATTAATCTATAACCTTCTAACACATTTACACTCCCAAACTAACGTATTTTCACAGCTAAGAATCTATTGAAGTTTGTTTCATACAAGTATTAAAACAAATAACTATAAGAATGTTGGATATATATATATGTTCCTTATCAATAAATTCGCATTAAAAAGTAAGACCTATGTGCTCCGCCCCTGACTAGTTATTAATCCATTATATAATAAATTACCCAATTTAACAAGAAATTATCAAGTCATCAACAAAGCCACCCCCCCCTCTCCTTTTTTTTTTTTTTTTTTGCAAAATAAAATTCAATATTTCACTGGATTAACAATAATAATCCATAATATCCATCCACCTATGACTTAGTACCTTACACATGAAGAGTTTAGGTCTTCTTCCATAGACTAACAATGTGTTTGATTTACTGGGCTGGACCTATTATATTCTATTATGGTTTATTTTGTGATCGGACATGTCCATGGTTCGTGGGCTTGCTCATATTTAAGGCTCGACCTTCGTAAATTTTATAACTCTTTTAATTTATAGAAATACTATGGATTGGGCTGGGCTGATAGGAAGAGGAATAATAATACATAGGCTTATAGGAACAATGGCACTAAATTTTTTTTTTCAATTGGACTTGGGCTATAGCCCATTACTAGTTCCTCCCTTGTATATATATATGTATAAATTCAATATAACTGCAGCCTGCTCATTTGATGGACATAAGAATAAAGATCATGTGTATATATTTATGTGTGATTTAAACATGGTCTCTACCTTGACAGAAGGCCTTTCTTCAAGAAGTCTCATGATGCCCAATTCTTTTTCTTGAGCAGCAACTGTCTCCTTGTTAATTGAACCCGTGCAACTCGAAAACATCAGATGCTTTGGGGCCACTCGCTTATAGGCTTTACTTGGAATATGCCAGAAGATTATCTCAGGCACCCTACAAAAAGGAAAAAAATAAAAAGCTCCATTTGGTTTCTGAAAGGACAGAGAAAATAAAATTCAGAATCTTTAAATTTCAATTGTTTAAATTACGTAAAAGAGAATTTGAATCCGGAAATTCTACTCAACAAGCTTGTTACAACTTACAAGTATTTGATACCAGATAGTCTAGACTTGTTGCCTCAGTCCAAGTCTTTTAATTTCCCTTGAACCAAACAAAAGAAAATCTAAGATTCTATTTATTTTTTCCTCCCTCTTCTTGGCAACCAATAGCATAAATGAAAATCAATTAGACTTAAAATTGTTATACTTCATCTTTTTTATATTAGTAAGATGCAATCATCAGAGAAACAAGAAGACAAACTAAGAGGGATTGAGTACTAATAATATTTACTACCTCGAATCAGGGTTGATATCTTGGGATTTTTGGTGGAACCATTCCGCCTGGGCGCTTGAAATCACTTCAGGGTAGGAACCACCACCAGAATCTAGAAAGTACATGAATGCCACAGGAGATTCCGGATTGTCTGACGAGGAAAGTCGAACAACGTAATTGGAAATACTTGGCCAAAGCTCCTTGGGACCATTTTTTGAGTATGATAATATGTTATGTTCAATCTCATTTTTCATTAGCCTTAAACGTGGCGTGCCTCTGAAGCTACAATCCTGCTCACCTGACATTAAAAATTTGGCTAAAATTAATAATTTTAAAGCCTACCTTTTGGTCTTAATGTTTGTAAATAATGAGAAAATTTGTGTTTGTAGTGCAGATCCTAATATTGCAAGGCTTGCAATGTGTTGACATGATTTCTTCTTTTCAAACATCAAGACCAATATGCTAAATGTTTGACAATGGACTAAGGTTGTGGTATGATCGATGGTTGTTTCCTAGAATGTGTCAGTAAGACAGGCTTGTACAAGCCCAGGGGTGGTCAGTCCATGCACTTGTTAGTGTTGTCTTTGTTATCTCTCCTATTTACTCCCATATAGTAGGCAAGATTTTAAATTGCAGTAACGGCTGTTCCAACGATATCAATCTCAAAAGCAAGTGTGCAGGATGATGAACGTTACAAGATGGACACGATTACCGGAGCCATTAATTTTATTTTCTCGCAAAACTACTACAAAATATAATGATTTGCTTGGTTAAACTTCAAAATTCCTTAATAAGTATTAATGAAATTTTGACATATATATAAGTGGGATTAAACATGAGTAATGAATTATATGTTAAATTTTAAATCACTGTCAGTAATATTTTCTTACTAACTTTTACCTTTCACTACGTTTATGAGAATAAAAACACTTAAAAATGGGAAATTATCAAAGTTTAATAATATAAGAAACATCATCATCTCTCCATCATATAAGTAAGAAATGATTTACCAACAAGTTTTTGCAGTCCAGTTTCAAAAAAGTGAAGGCGAGAAAATAATATGAACAAGCTTGACAATACTCTAGAAAAGAGGGCATCATAACATCATTTGATACTGGATTTTTGGTGATGTACAAAACTGAGCTCTCTTTTCAAGTACTAGATAGTCGATGCCAATGCTGACATTTGAAAAGGTATTAGATCCATAAATTCAGAAATAGATGTAAATTCAATATCAAATTAAATCATTGGTATCAACTTCTGTCCCAGATAATAAAGACTAGCATCAAAGATCCAGTCATTTCAAACAATGAAATATAAATAGTTCCAGAGCGAAAGGGAAATAAAAGTTCTTATCATGCAAAACACCAACAAGTTGAAGAAATGAAGGAATGAGAGTACTGTTACTATTAGGCATAAACAGCTGTTGCCAGCTTTATCATTGAAGTTTCAATCTTTAGACTCACCTGAGTACAAGGAATTTGTGGCAGGGCAATGAAGTTGAGGAATTCCAGTAGCCGAAAACCACTCCATTGGCCACTCGAATGGTGCATCATCATGGTTTCCAAATACACTAGCCCATGGTATGTCCCTGGCTCTTGTTGGTGATATTGCCTGATCCCAGTACAAGCTAGCATTTGCAATCGGTATGTTATTGGCCGTGATGACATCCCCAAGATAAATTACAAAATCTGCCACGCAATTGCACTTTGTTACAGAATTTAAGCAGCAGTCAAGACACTGCTTTTTGATCCACTATATAAAAATTCAAAATTCCATTTATAGCTACAGCCCACATTATGCTTAATATTTCCCAAGTAAAACAGTCATTTGAGTGTTCACGGCAATTTGTCAAACGATACAGGCTACAATAGTTCAATGTTGACCCCGGCCACTAAACTAAAATTTGGCTCAGGCACTTTTTTTTTTTCATAGGTTGGTTACAGGAATATAAATACATTGTTCTCGGTTAAACCATATGCCAATCAATCATTTACATTTGTATTAAAAGTTTGTTAATAGTGCAAGAAGAAGACAGATGGGTTAGTTTTGGAATAAGAACAGGACAATCTCAATAAGCACAAAAACACTTTATTGATATACAAAATTAGGACCCACTTCCCTAGAACTTCATAGGACCCAGATGTTACAAATGTGTGACATCTATACTATATTGTAATGTTTAGCTCTCTAATTTGACCTATAAATTCAAATATATAAAGTATCCCTGTCTGTGATCAGCTAAGTTAGGTCCTGTCTGTGATCAGCTAAGTTAGGTACTGTTTGGGTTAGTTTTGGAATAAGAACAGGACAATCTCAATAAGCACAAAAACACTTTATTGATATACAAAATTAGGACCCACTTCCCTAGAACTTCATAGGACCCAGATGTTACAAATGTGTGACATCTATACTACATTGTAATGTTTAGCTCTCTAATTTGACCTATAAATTCAAATATATAAAGTATCCCTGTCTGTGATCAGCTAAGTTAGGTACTGTTTGGTTTTGTTTTCTCTTTTCTTTCTAGATATAAAGAAATGCGCTTTAAGAAATGAAAGCCAAACAATGCTTAGAAAGGGTTTTGACATCAAAACTTGAGTAATTCAATGGATTTGATAGGCTCACCTGGGTTTTCTTTATCGAGAACAGCTGTCATGACCCTCGAAGAATTCATGTCTTGCTGTGGACCCCAGTCTGTCGACGCGGCCTCTCCAAAGTGCAAGTCGGCGAACAAAGCAATCTTGAAGGGTGCACCTGGAGGTAACCGAAGGTAGTTCTCCGTCGTTTTACGTAGATCGGCGATCCTTCGAGATTGATGGTGGTTCGCTTGATGGTCTGATCGGACAGTGTGGACGGACTGTAAGACAAGAGAGAAGGTAATGAACAACGAGAATATCAGAAGGTTTACAGACCTTGCCATTATCGGTGAGCAGAGAGAGAACCGTTACGAATAAGAGTGGTTTAGTGTTCAACTGATTATAATACGTTTGTGTAAATTCTATAGACGTGTGGTTGAGAATAAAATGACAGAAATGACCCTGATATTAGACTTTCATTAGTACCCCTCCCGTTTGAGATATTATTCGAAGCAAATCCAATCAACTCGAGGGTAGTTGTGTCATTTCGAGAAAAGCCTAGTAATATTATGGGCATATACTAGGTGCCAACTGCAAAATTTCGCATTAGGTGGATCTCAAACACCAAACTTCACTGCGTCCCAATCACCGGCAAAGAAAATTATAAATGGTACACTAAACTGGCAATCCTTATTAAGAAGATTGATTGAATATGCCTACGGGGCCCTTCCTTTAGGATAAAGGACACAGTTTCTCTCGGCAATTGCAAGGAGATTTAAGTGAACCAACAATTAACAAATCTGGCAAATTTCCTGCCAATTATCATGGACAGAAAATATGAAGTTTCTGTAAACAATATCAAATTCTGAACTTGTTGAGGACCAAAATGCCCTTTACAAAAATACACAAATAACTCTGAAAAATTTAACTCAATATACATGAAAGCATTTAGGTTAATTACACTCACACTCCTGAGGTTTGCTCTATTAACAATCAGCTTAAAGTTAGTTCTTTTTTTAACAATAACACCCCTCAAAATTAGATAAAGTTGACAAATACATCCAAGACACATCTGACACATAACGAATTGACCTTTCTACCCTTTTTCCTTTACAAATTATTTTATTGGACTAAATTAGCCCTCACATCATTTCCCCCTCTCTACCCACAGCCACCCTTATTCTCTTCTTCTCTATCTCCACTGCATCAGCCGCCGCCGCCGCTGCCACCACCATCAGTCCATTGCCACAAAATATATATACCACACACACACATATATATTTCACAAATAAAACCACCGGAAACCTCTACCCACCCCCCTTCTTCCACATAGCCACAAACCATTCCAAATTCCATCACAAAATTCCACGAACCCTATGGTTCGAAATCGACCAAAAAACAATTGGTCGTTGCTCAATCAATCAGAGTCGATGGGTCATGTCAAATGCATATTATTGCCCCTCGTTGATGTCGGAATCTTGTCACCGTCGTGCCATTGCCGTTGCTAGTCGCCGAACAGGACCTTCGTCAACGTCGGAATTGCATCACCGCCGCCATCGTTGCTGCAAAATGCTTTTGGGTTTATATATGTAGTGGTTATATATACCACATAGAAGGCAAAATGGATTTGATTTGCCTTTTTTTCAGGAGAAGGAAAAAAAAAACTACAAATGGGTTTGGGTGTCGGTATCTATATAGTTATATATATAAATAGAAAGCAAAAATGAGTTTGATTTTCCTTTTAAAAAAAATTGCAAAATGGGTTTTGGTTTCTCTCTCTCTATAAAGAAAGAAACATATTTACAGTTATATATACAGTTATATATACCAAATACATAGTAGAAAGCAATGTAGATTTGATTTGCCTTTTCAAAATATATATATATATATATAGGTTAATTTGGACTTGAGATAGGTGGGGGTGGCTGGGTGGTGACTGTGGGTTTTGATTTGGAATTTGGACTTGAGATAGGTGGGGTTTGGACCTGCTGGTTACTGAGTGGTGACTGGTGGATGCACTGCCATTTTTTTTGATGGGTTTGTAACTGAGTAGTGAGAAAAGAGCCTCTGTTTGGAAAGCTTTTTGAGAAATTTTTATAATGATAATGGGTATTTAAGTAATTTAGTTTGTTAGATATTATATATTAAAAATTAATTAAATAACAAGTGGGCAATCTAGACATTTCATACTACTTTTAAAGGTAAAAGCTGACAAGGGGTGTCAATGTTAAAAAATAGCCCAAGTTTAATCTGACCGTCAAAAGAGCAAACCTCAGGGGTGTGAGTGTAATGAATCCAAGCATTTATATACAAGACTTTTTCGTGACGTAATTGTTGCCACCTGATATTGATTACAAGATCCATACAAACACTTTATTTTTCAAATTTGATTAATTCCATTTCTTGGCCTTGAATATATACATAGAAAGACGAAATAAGAACATCAACAGCTCAGGAGAATCTCGCTGTGTGATTGGCCATCTTCCATCCTTATCCATGACTTGAGACAGAAGGGTTGCTGAGAAATCTCCAAAATTCTAGCTCCTCTAGGCCAATTTCCATACCCTCCATAACCAGTATGCCTTGCAAAGCAAAGCCACAGGTTCTTGTAGGGGCAGCACCAGTCCAATCCATGGTTGTGACCTACAAACACTGCCTGCCACCGCAAAAATGAATACAACTAAGTAGGACCCCATTTTCAGCAATCAAAGCAAAACCATGAGATCTCAATCATATGTCAATAACCCTAATCACGTAACATCGGATTAGCCATGTAGGCCATACTTGGAAAATTAAGTGCCACACCATCATTATTATTGAATCAGGAAACTCTCTCTTAAACAATTTTCTTTTCCAAACACTTTCTGGTCATTTGACATCAGTGCATTTTAGTCATTCTTGGGTCTCAAGTTCATAATTTTCCGGCATGTGCTAGAAAGTGTCCAAAGTTAACCTACTAGGGAAGCCAGAATGGGTACATTGGCATGGAATTGATAATCATGACCCAGAATAATGATAAGAAACATGATACAATTGAACAGTTTGGAAATGATTGTAGAATGTGAAAAAATTTGTTCCAAGAATAGCTAATTAGAAAGGAAAAACCTGCACAGATTCCACAGACCTAGTAGACCAGGTGGTATCCAGATAGTTTCTCAACCATAAATCAGGGACTCAAGTCACTTGTTTCCTATATATGTGTGCGTGTGCGTGTGTGTGTGTGTATGCATATATTCAATATAACTGCAACCTGCTCATTTGATGGACATATGAATACAGATCTTGTGCATGTATTTATGTGTGATTTCAACGTGGTCCTTACCTTCACAGAAGGCCTTTCTTCAAGAAGTCTCATGATGCCCATTTCTGCTTCTTGAGCAGCAACTTTCTCCTTGTTAATTGAACCTATGCAACTCGAAAACATCAGAAACGTTGGGGCCACTCGCTTATAGGCTTTACTTGGAATATGCCAGAAGATTATCTCAGGCACCCTACAAAAAAAAAAGAAAAATTATTCCATTTGGTTTCTTATAGGACAGGGAAAATAAAAGTCAGAATCTTTAACTTTCAATTGTTCAAATTACGTAAAACAAATTTTGAATCTGGAAATTCTATTCAACAAGCTTGTTACAACTTACAAGTATTTGATACTAGACAGTCTAGACCTGTTGCCTCAGTCCAAGTCTTTTTATTTCCCTTGAACAGGGAAAATAAAATTCAGAATCTTTAACTTTCAATTGTTCAAATTACGTAAAACAAATTTGGAATCTGGAAATTCTATTCAACAAGCTTGTTACAACTTACAAGTATTTGATACTAGAGAGTCTAGACTTGTTGCCTCAGTCCAAGTCTTTTTATTCCCTTGAACCAAACAAAAGAAAATCTAAGATTCTATTTATTTTTTCCTCCCTCTTCTTGGAAGCCAATAGCATAATGAAAATCAATTAGACTTAAAATTGTAATACTTCATTCTTTTTATATTAGTAAGATGCAATCATCAGAGAAACAACAAGACATATTAAGAGGGATTGAGTACTAATATTTTCTACCTTGAATCGGGGTTGATTTCTTGGGATTTTTGTTGGAACCATTCCGCTTGGGCGCTTGAAATCACTTCGGGGTATGAACCTCCTCCAGAATCTAGAAAGTACATGAATGCCACAGGAGATTCCGGATTGTCTGATGAGGAAAGTTGGACAACATAGTTGGAAATACTTGGCCAAAGCTCCTTGGGGCCATTTTTTGAGTATGATAATATGTTATGCTCAATCTCATTTTTCATTAGCCTTAAACGTGGTGTGCCTCTGAATCTACAATCCTGCTCACCTGACATTGAAAATTTAGCTAAAGTTAATAATTCTAAAGCCTACTTTTTGGTCTTAATGTTTGTAAATAATGAGAAATTTTGTGTTTGTAGGGGAATCTTAATGTTGCAAGGCTTGCAATGTGTTGACATGATTTCTTCTTTTCAAACATTTAAGACCAACACGCAAAATGTTTGACAATGGACTAAGGTCGTGGTATGAGAGCTGTTGCCTAGAACGTGTCAGTGAGGCAGGCTTGGTAGCCCAGGGGTGGTCAGTCCATGCACTTGTAAGTGTTGTCTTTGTGTCACTCTTATTTTCTCCCATATGGTAGGCAAGATTTTAAATTTCAGTAATGGCCATTATAATGATATCATTCCCACTAGCATGTGCAGGATGTAATGGACGTTACATAATGGACATGACTATCAGAGCCATTAATTTTATTTCGTCACAAAACTACTACAAAATATAATGATTTGCTTGCTTAAACTCCAAACTCCCATAATAAATATTAATTAAATTTTGAATTATAAGTGCGATTAAACACGAGTAATGAATTATATGTTAAATTTAAAATCGCTGTCAGTAATATTTTCCTACTAACTTTCACCTTTCACTACATGTATGAGAATAAACACACTTAAACATGCAAAATTATAAAAGTTAAAGCTTGTTTAAGAAACATCATCATCTCTCCATCATATAAGTACAAATGACCGGGGTTTAGAACCACGGAGATTGAGATTAAGGAAAGTCAGAAATGAATTTACTGAGAAGTTTTTGCAGCCCAGTTTCAAACAAGTAAAGGTAAGAAAATACTACGAACAAGTTTGACAATACTCTAGAAAAGAGGGCGACATAACATCATTTGATACTGGATTTTTTTTTTTTTTTTTTTATGTACAAAACTGACCTCTCTTTTCAACTACTAGAGAATGGATGTCTATGTTGACATTTGAAAATGTATTAGATCCATAAATTCAGAAATTGTTGTAAATTCAATATTAAATTAAGTCATTGGTATCAACTTCTGTCCCAGACAATATAGACTAGCATCAAAGATCCAGTCATTTCAAACAATGAAATATAAATTGTTCCAGAGCCAAGGGGAAATAAAAGTTATTATCATGCAAAACACCAAGTTTAAGAAATGGAATGCGAGAACCGTTACTATTAGGCATAAACACCTGTTGCCAGCTTTGTCATTGAAGTTTCAATCTTTAGACTCACCTGAGTATGAGGAATTTGTGGCAGGGC